ACATATCATCACTAAACCCCAAACCTCTATTTCAGATAGGAGCTCACCTTAATAAAATCGACAGCGCAAAAAGGCTGCCACTGGCTCGTTAAAGCACTTGATTATATCTCTTCTACTCTTTTCCCAAACTATGCGGCAGGCCAAGACCGATACTACAAAGCAAGATGGGGCGCATGGTGGAAGTCATAGGATTACGGGAGATGGTCACGACGGTAGGGTTGGCAGGGCCGTTCATGCTGAGTCATCTGCAGCGGATGATGTATGCCCTGGATGGTGGGCTTTAGAATGGACCTTTGAAGAAGGCCAAAAACAAGAGCAGCAGAAATCCAAGGCGTCAAAAGCGTGGACCTTTCGTGGGTTTAAATCGCGAAACCAAGGATAGTAAGAAGACTAGCGGTGGGCATACGCAAAGGAACTTAGTAGCTGCCCTCATGGGCTTGGAGCCTCGGCCCCCTTTGACCTAGTCTGTAGCAACCTGTGCTGGCTCCTACTTATCAACATGTTGCCGAGCACCATATCATATACATTGCCTACCTCAATATCTTGGATTCTGCCAGTATCACTCATTTTTGAAAGGATCGAGCTTGGGGCTTAACAGTAATACGTAATCTGGCATCTGTAGCCTCGCTTCGAATCGTCTCAGCGGGTCACAAGACGTTTTCCGAAATGCCCGCATTTCCTGTTCTGCCTGTCTGGCATGACTAGCTCCACATCGTGTTGCAAACGTTGGAGTCAGTCTCGTGAAGCCCAAGGACACTTCTGCTAACGCGGCCGAAGCACTGGTGGCCAGAAATGTCCATTATACTCGCGCGTCCAAGCAGGCCAGTACATCTACAAATGAACAGAAAGGGACGCGTCCTGAAATGAGGTCGGCATTTCCCAGTTGCTGGGTTATTTGGGTTATTAGTGGCATATCTACTCTTCGTACCCTGAGCATGGTGTGGTCTCAACTAATCAGAAACCTGGAACAGTGGGGTCGTTTTTTTGACACTCCACTGTTCCTCTTGGCAGATGTTTCTAGATACTCCAATCATAACGGACTTCCAACTCCCAATAAGTGGACCCGTTCTATTCATCGCTGGATCGCATCCCCCACAAAATGGCTTCTGGTGACCAGCTAAACGTCCTCATCATGCGTACTCACTTTTTCGAAGATGCGGGCCTGGGACCAACCTTTGCGCTCAGGACAGCCAGATCTAGACGGCCACATGGAAAATAGACTATTGTGTCTTCTTCCCATAATACTTATCAAACGCGCAGTAGTAGAGTGGTCTATCATCGCTGGCGGCCGTGCTCTTAACAAACAGTCACAAGACGCTTCCCGAAATGCTCCATTTCCTATGCTTAAGCTGCCTGTCAAGACCCGCTCCACGTCGCGTTGCATGCCCAAGGACACTTCTGTCGACTACCGCGGCCCAAGCATTGGTGGCCAGAATTGCCCATGACTTCTCGCGCATCAAGAGACAGAAGGAGACACGTCCTGAAATAAGATCGGTCCATTTGCAGAGTGACCCAAAAGCGCTTCGCTTTGGACGTCGACTTCCTGCCACAACCTGAAGTCGAATTGCGGCCCGCAGGACTTGTGGCTCAAGTTGCCGGCCGACGGCGCCCCGATGGCTGTAATCAGCTGCAAGCAACCTTGCGCACCTGCGCCAGATCATGCCCCGCTAGCACCGGAAACCGGACCAGCCTAAGTCTTCGGCTTCAAAGTCCGGCAAGAACGGCAGAGGTCAGGTACAGGTACTGAGCTGCTGTGACCTGCGCGACCACATACCAGGAATAACCGATTACACTAGCACCTGACTTTCCGCTTCCTCTTGTTCTCCGACCTCGCAGCCTGTTCCCGCGCGGTCTTGGGTTTCATTGGTAGTAACGTTTTCCTGGGCTGCACTGGAAAGTGGCTACGAAGAGCTTGTATTCAAGGCATTACCCTATATGATTGTGCCACAAACAGGAGTCGATAACATTTTCAACGGTTCTGGTAATCGTTTGTCGTCCGAATGAAGTAAAATCAAGGATATGCTTCCTTTTACAACACTGTAGCTTTATGGCCGATCACTAGGTGAAGTTTGTTCTTTCGCAAATTATTGTGTTCGGAGGTCTTGCATGGAATTGGTTGCCAAAATGTAATGCTAAGCTGAAACTTGGAACTACTCCTTGAAGGCCATTGTCAAGAAGACCTCAAAATCTATTCCCAGATTTGCTCCAGAACTCTTCAACTAAATCGTTCGCTAGTTCCCTGACTTTCCGCTCGCTCTCCCAAGTGGTGTCACATGACTTCTCAGAATACCCAACCCACTGAATCAACAATTCAGACCTCCCGCCTTCCATTCGGTGCTTCAGTATCTTGAACACAAAGTATTCCTCTGGATATTTGTGCCTGACAAATAGCTCGTGGCTACGGCCCTCAGGAAACTGTGTATGGTTATTCCAGAATTCATACAAAGCCTCTGGGGCATCTTCCTGAATGATTTCTTCAGGCTCAAATGTCTTGTCTTCTGCAGGAAAACCCGCCCACTCAACCAACACCTCAATTTCACCGTTAGATAACCGTCTATATCCACAAAGCTTTCGGATTTCGAAAAACGCCTCTTCACAAGATACTGTTTTGCCTCTGGTTTGGGTATGCGTAAGCGGAGCATCTTCTGTATTGATGATTTCAGAGTCAGTCTGCCCATGTGGTGTGGCGTTCGAGTGGAAGATTCGTCTGTACTCATCGCCTATTTGCATCAATGAGCTGTGATTCAGATATTGCTCTATTAATTGAAAGGACAACTGTACCGGTTATCCCCATGTTGGCAACTGGCATGGCACGCTGCAATTTTTCAAATCACTGTCCGACCGTTCACCTCAAGTCTAGTAGACGTATTCCTGGCTGCCTCAATCATGCACTCCTTCACTGTAATTTCCATGCTGTGCTTGTACCAGAATGCGAAGAGCGAAGTGATGAGAGAGGGTGGTATGGGATATAACACGAGATATAGCTATCTAAATACTAGCTCATGGGCTTGGATCTTCCGGTCAACGGGCGGCCGGGGAATGAATCTATCCGACTTGGACATTTTGAAATCTTTGGGCACCACACTAGTTGCCCCGGAAATTTGCCCCGGCCAATAGCTGCTGAATGTGATTGCAATTGTGCCGTTGAACACCCACAAAGTGCGTCCAGTGTACGTTGAAAAGAGATTGTCATCACCAATCTATCTACCGTTTTTACACTAGCCTGGACGGAACCGTTGCTGTTAGTGACGAAAAACGTCGGTGTTTGTCCCGCCAAAGTAAGGACCGGAGAAGCGCACGATGAATAACCATGTTTGTTTCTTGTACCATTTCCGTAGATGGTACCATTAAGCTTGGGTGGTGTTTTGCAGGTTCTCGAATACTGGTGTGTCGGCATTATTTGCACTTGGCACTTGGGGTGGTTAAGACCGTAAGTTAGACGTGACTGCCCTATATCTATTTGAGTTTGAATGGTAGGGGAAGTGGCAGTAGTGATCACTCATTGAGCAAGTTGGATGTGATATTTCAGGATGGTGAAATCTACTACCTGAATGGTTCTTGTGTATCTATACTATAGATCTACAACTGTAATTCTGATAGCGGTATTGTCTGGGATTTGATGACTCCAGATGCGCTGCCTGTATGCTAATAGCCTATACATATGGGAATGACCGAAGTTGCAATAATCTTGGCTTGTTATTCCCGCCTTGTCCACCCCGCAGGCCACACACTGAATGCCAGTCTCCAAATTCGGACTTTGACGTCTTCACTCTCCTTACAGGGCAGCTCACCTGTACCATCTGCCTCCATTTCCTCCAGCACAGAGGCACTGTGGGAGAAGTGGTGTATTGACTGCATGAATAATTTGTGAATCTCTGCGGCGTGGGTCCTCTTCGACTCATCGGCCTCGCCGTCGAGACAATGGACCGCTCTGTGGTATTGAATGAGAGCGTTGATTGAACAAGGCGTAAGCTTGAAGATGGCTTGCTTGCTCGCTTTGTCGACACGCTCAATATAGCCTTCAATGTGAATGATTTCGGGGATGAGCTCATCTTTGAAGTAGGTTGGGTCCTGGCGCAACTCAACCGTGGGACGTCTGGGGAGCATGATAGAAGCCAGGATCCACACTGGTACGTCCATGGGAAAGAAGGTGAGCAGAAGAATGATTGAGTAGGCAAGGGAGCCAGGCACCAGTGGCTACGTGGGTAAGTAGGTCAGAAGGAAAAATAAAACGGAAGCGACAGACTACCGCCCTACGCAGGCTTTTATAAGAGAAACTTGGAGCTCATCCGGGACCTGTACTTAATTAAGGCTGCTGTCCATAGAATAAGGGGAGCCATCCCTGTACATCAAGGATGGGTGCTAGTGTCTTGCGCATCGACCTTTCCACTCATTCTATCTGTGCGTTGGCTTTCTCTAAAAAGAGACAAGTTCATGGCCGTCACCTGGACTTCGCTCCTAAACCCCTGCCGTTTTACACGTTGATTGGACTTGCCTTGTAGGTTTGCCCACCGGAGTTTAGGTGCCTGGGCAAGAGAATAGCCAAATAAGCGCATACACGTTTCGTTACAATATAATGTGTTGTTCATACAAGGTCAACTGAGGACGCCATATGGAGCCTGTAACCGCCACAGCCCCTAAAAATGGCGAATTTCGTCCACAATCACATGGACGGGCCTCGCCGCTAACTCTTTTCCAAACGATACACGGCACCAGGAAAGCACATAATCGTACATCCAAGTCCCCTTCTCCGGTGTGTACTAGCCTACTTGCTAACATGACCAGGCTTTCTCGCAACCCTGCAATGAGCAATATGTGAGATGTGATATCTTGCGTCTCGTTCTTTAAACATGATTAGTCAAGTTCAAGGGATGATTTATCACATGGTCAGCACGGATAACACTTGAATGACTCGCCCATGAGCTGTGTCCAAGGTTGAAATCCTCCAAGGCTACCGTATGGTCTATTTTGGTCGGCGATCCCGAAACCCTGCTATCATGGTTGGTTCTTGGGCGGCCATGTCGTTCAAGCCCTAGTTCCTGACGTACAGAACTGTATAGTCAAAGAAAAGTGGACGTATGAGATGCTTTTTCCGGGTGACGTACCATGACGGCACTTGTTGTTTCCCACATTTTGTTGAGCAATGGCCCCTTTTGGTCCAAGGTAGGGGCACCTACATTAGAACAGGACATCTTCCAAGGCAGATTCGTTCCACTTCCACGCGATGGCCTTAGCGCATCCGCATTGCAGATAGTTCTAGAAGTTCGAGTCGCATACTTTCCCTTGACCTGTCTCATCACTTACCATCTTCTCGGACATCTGCCGTTGAACTCGAATCTGTCCATACCTAATCCCTACGATGGTGTCATTGGAAACCCTGCCACTCGAGATCCTTCAGATGATCTCCTCACTCCTGCCGTTGCCGAATCAGTTCTCCTTATTTTGTTCCTCTGCCAAATTGCGAAATGCCACAGCCTACGGCCTTATTCACCGAGGAAGTGCGTCGGTCCGTTTCGCGATGCAATGTAATTATGGAGAAACCTTCTCTATGCTGTTCTTGGATCGATGCAGAAAATCCAACGTCAGCTTGCAGATCGCAGACATTCAAGAGATCTGGAACGTCCGGCCGCGCCGCAGCGATGATGTTTTTGGAATGTCTTGTAGGGTCAGCAGGTCTTCAGAGATAACTCTACTAGCTTCGGCTTTGTTGCAGAATCATACCAAAATCTTCAACTGGTTACTCCATTATAAAGATGAGATTGGAATCATCGATATTCGATCCTCAGACGCAGTATCGGAGCAAATATTACCACATTGGACTGCTCTCTTCGTCGCTCTTGTTTATAGGAGACAAAAGGTGGCAATGGAACTACTGGATCATGGTGCGCCCCCGACCGCTGTCAAATCTGGCATAACAGCGCTTCATCTGGCCGCTGCTGGGGGCCTCCTTGAAATGCTCAAACGTCTCGTGCAGCACTACGGATTCGACATCAATCAGCCGGACGACCGAGGCGATACGCCGTTGATCTACGCATTGTCATCTCCTCGAGTCGGTAAGAAATTGTTAGGGAGCTTGATCCGCCTCGGCGCGGATGTGAACAAGCCAACGATCTGCCAAGCACAGTACCTGAGCCCACTTAGCATCGCGATTATGGTTCATCGATGGGATCTTGTGATGGAGCTCCTCAATTCTGGAGCAGACGCAGGCGGGAAGATGGAGGTAATGCTGGATCAGCAGGGCCGCCAGCCAACAAAGCCACTGTCTTGCGCCTGCTTCACGCCCCAAGACTACCCGCAAGGAACGAATGGACAACGAAAGGCGGTTATTGCAAGGCTCCTGGAGGAAGGCGGCGACCCAAATATGTTGATCACCTATAACAACGAGAGCCAGCCGCTCCTCATCCGGCTTATCCGGATGAAAAGAGAATGGGAAGCAGCACATCTCATGGCAAGTCCACTACTTAACGTCAACGAACGGGACCGGCAGGGCATGTCGGCCTTGGACTGGGCACTTTGCACCAAACACGGCAGACCCACGCTAGCGGAGCTATTGTTACAACACCACGCTGAGCCGCCACTGAGCACAATCCGCGACATCGCGTCGCTCATGACTCGAGTATGGGGAGCTGCACCTTGTCAGATATATGATCTGCTGAGAAGAAACCCAAAATTCTTCCCGTCTTATCAGGTACTCTACAAGCACCTCTCCAACATTGCCCCTGTTGATAAGGGTCGCTATGTGAAGGAGTTCCTACGTGGCTGTCCTGCACCGGTCGCTCGTCGGATTGAGCAAGCCGGCCAGGTGCAGCTTAATAACAATGTTTTATTGGAGTGCATGAAGCAAAGTTTCAACGTATGCAGTGCGTGGTCGCGTAGAGCTGCTCGTCAGGGAACAGCACACACACACACACAGCGCTAAATTATAGCAATGACTATAATATATGTACAATAAGTGCGTCAAATAGACTCCAGCAAGAAAGATAGAAAACATAAGCCATTCTAATCAATTATTTCCTTGCAATCGCGTTGCCCCTCCAGTTCTTGTTTCTGTTCCTCTTCGTGGCGGATGTTCTATTTCTCTTTCTGTCTACTATTTTCATTCTTGAAACATGTCAGTCAACATATTTCCCGCTTTTGGCGTTGCAACTGCCATCCTGCTTTCATGATTAGCAGAATCGAGCTCTCTTCCCCCGACCACCCTCGTAGCTTGCTTCAAGGCGACGTTTTCTGTGATCAGCGGTGCCAAACCAAGATTCCATGTTCTGCTGCCGTAACAAACTCTGCAGTGTGAATGGTGACCCGCTGATATTGCATTCC